GGGCGGCGCGGCGCGGCGGGGCGGCCGGCGGAGGGAGGCGCTGCCGGGGCCGGGCCCGCGCGTCCCGCGGGAGGCGGCCATGTCTACCGGCGAGGCGGAGCGGTTGTCGGCGGACGCCGATGGGGCCGCCGGGGACGAGGAGGAGGAGTGGCTCTATGGCGGTACGGACCTTCCCCGACCCCCGTGCCCAGCCCGCCTCCCCAGCGGGCCGGCCCGGCGCCGCCGTGGAGGGGGGGCCGTGCGGGGGTGCGCAGGCCGCGCCGTGAGCCGCCTCGCCGGGCCGCTGAACGTGGTCCCCCAGTCCCGCCGCCCCCGTGGCTGCTCATCCCCCTCTGTCCTGCCGGCCAGGCCCCCGGTGGCGACGGCTCCCGGCCCCTTCTCTTCCCCGGTCTCCGCTGCCGGTGCCGCGGGCCCTCAGCCCGGGCCGCGCAGGCCGAGGCGTGCTGGGCCTCAGTGGCGAGAGCCCCGCGTGGTGTCCCTGGCCCACAGGCACCTCTGGGGGCACCGAGCTCTCCCTGATGCTCTCCTGCCCGAGTTCCCGGCGTTGAAATACTGAAAGAGGCTTAACCTTTTATGTATTAACTTTCTATACAACTTTAAGGACTATGTTTATGTTCAGATATTAATGAAACATATAAACTAAACCTTGCCCACGTGGTGGACCTGTCAGTGCAGAGCGCTGTAATTGCTTAGGGGTCCGCTCGACTGATTCCACAACTGAAATGTTTAGAATATGTCTCAATAGTCAGTATGTCTCTGAAGACTTTCCTAATATTCTACATCCCAAGATGATCTGTTACAGTTGATACCCTAGGGATTTTATTCTTAAATATTGTATTTCTTTTCTCTTATGGTAGATGAAAATGAAGCAGAGAGACCAGAGGAAGAAAAATCTAGGTGAGTATCCTGACAACTGAAAGCCTTGTAGCATGGCTGCACAAAAGCTGTGTTCATTACATTCTTCCCAGCTCCTGCCAGCCCACTCTGGTGTCTTTGAAAGTGTCCTTAACATAGTATGTTTGGACTTTGCTTTTCTTTGAAATGGCTGTACCTGTGAAATTGGGCCACTTAAGTATGAAAGTTAGTTTAATTGTATGGACAGTAATAACCACTCACAAAATGCCAACAGGACTTTTATTTTTGTGATCATTGTGCTTTGTGGCCTTAATGATGCATCAGGACTTGTTTGAGATAATTTAGCAACCGAAAAAAACATCATGTCTCCCAAAGAGTTTGCAGTGTAGTTGCAAAAACAGGAATACAAGGAAGCAGTGGGAGATTACCAGGTAGTTTTATGTACAGGTCGCATCTGCTTAGGCTTGCAGGGTTGGCATGGTTTGTTTTTTTTTCTAACCAGTAAGACAGTATTTCAAAGAAACCTGGAGAAGCTTAGGAAAGATTTGGAAGTATTTGAGGGGAACCTGCTTGAGTTACAAAGAGCTGTATGAGGGCACAAAGATGCTCCCTTGAAAATCTAACAAAGTTAATGGAGATTAGTGATGAGGACTGACTGGAAGAGGGAATCAGTCGCTTGTGCTAAATGAAGGAAATTCTCATAATTGGTAAAATACGGAAATTTATTGATTGTCAAGGTATATTAAAAAAATAAAGGGAAAATCAATATGTGAAAACATATGTTGTTATTTTCTATAGATGTTTCCATTTTTTCCGTGAGAACTCTTGCATTTAGTTAGCCTTGGTGGCCTGCTTGTTCATAAGTGTGCTCAGTTGCTCTTTTGAACTCATGTCAACTTTGACAAGTACAGAATGACAAATCAGTAATTACCTCCATCACATGACTATATATGATATCATTGTGAAGCAGCTAGAGGTGTGATTATTTGATTCCCATTATTTCTGTAGTAAAGAAACAGAGTTGTTTTCTTTCACTTTTTCCACGTCACTTAACAGGTTTTTAGACCTGTGTTGCATTGTCTTGAATCCCGACTCTTCCAGGTCAAATGATTCTAGTTAATTATTTGCTCTTTATTTAGAAGCTGTTCCATATCAGTTGATTCCTTATGTTCAGTTACCTTTTCTTGATCTGGCATGTTTGTCACTACTACTGTTATTTAGGAAAATTACTTTAGGAAAATTACATGGAGGCCAAAATGATCTTTAGAAACCGTCTACTCCAGTTTTTGGCCAATAGTGTCTAGCTTGGCATTTGGCTGTTGCAATGCACAGTTTTGGACAAAAAGCATAACAAATACTAACTCACCCATCTTAGGAGTTGTGTTTGGAGCTGTGGAAGTATGGGGACAGTTCAGCTGTTAAAAGTTTTGGTCTCTGGCCTCAGTTTTGGCGTTGTTTGTATATACAGAAATTGTGATGTGTTGTTCAGGTTCTGTACCTAATCTGTCATTTTACCAGGTGGTGAAGTGAAATGATCAAGCTTGAATCCTGAGGCAATAGCTGGGCTGTATTGGGTGCAACTCACGGGTGTGTTGCCAACAGAGTATGGGGTTAGATTCATTCTATTCAGTAAGAATTAGCAATTGCACACTTTGTTTCAGAAATACCTTTTCAGTGAAAGAATATTGTTTCTAGATGGCTCCCTGCTTACTCTGCTATTTGTGGTGCAGCATCCTAACAGCTAATGGGACTGTGGAAGTTAAAATATTACTGTGTAGGAAACAGCTGTACGTAGGCTCAGTGAGACAGCTCATTTGCATGGATGTCACAGTACTCATCCTCTTAGATGGACCAGTAATTTTAAATTTTTTACTCAGTCTACAGTTAAATGTAAATGAATTAGTCATTGAATTGTAACTATTCTATATGGTAGGAGAGAATTTCATAATGCTGCTGTGGGAATTCTGTTTCAGTGAAACATTATACCTGTGGGTGTTTAAATGCTTTTTGTTCCGTTATGTCTTTGAAAAGTGTCAGTCTGCATGGGAAAAAAAAAACCCAAACAACTTATTCTCCCTTCATATGTTACAAAGTATTTCAGTTTGATTTCAAAGGAAGATCCAAGTGTAATGCCTCATTGCTTCCAACTATTCTACAAACATCCACTTAGTATAAATTATGATAGCTAAATATTGCTGATATAAAGTTATATTCATCTCGGGTTTTTTTTAATAAGTCAACCTTGTTTTTTAATTAATACCAAAGACAACTGGAGCTTTGGCTTTGCATCTGGAATGATGAAGCAAAGCTTTTTTTCATCATTAGCTGATACCTGTGAAATAGCATGTGCATAAATATCTAGTTTCACCTTTTCCTGTTTGTTTTTGTTGAAGTGTTCCACCCCCACCTGGAAGTGAAGAGGAAGCTGCAGAAAATGGCGTTGTGAAAACGGTAGTTTTAAACGTGTTTTTGAAATACTGTTTTAAAATGTTTTCATTTAATGACTTACTGGGAATTCATATTTGACTAGGACTTATATTTAAATGAATTAATGCCTAAGTGTGCGCCATTTGTTTTCTAAAATGTGTTTGTGAGCTGCACTAAATTAGGAAATTACTAAATTAGGAAATCAAATTTCCAGCTAAGTCCACTTTTAAAATCTAATTTGCAGAAAATAAATAAATACTACTCCCAGTTTTTTGGGGGGGACAGAAAGATGGGCTTGAAGACACCTCTCTTTTCTCAGTGACATCCTTTTTCAAAATGATGGTTTGTTTTTTCTCAGTGATAAGAAAATAAAGTCCTCTGATCATTTTTCTTCTTTTGGATATGATAGACAAGCAGGATTTGCAGAGCTTTGTGAAAGTGTGAACCAAGGGATGAATTACATATGCCTTTCAGATGCAATGTAACACTTATTTTGTGTTAATCTTCAATGTTTAGTATGTCTGATAACATCAATGTTGGTATGATGAAGGAAAGGACCAAGAAATTAAATTTACAGTTGCTGTGTTGGTTAAAGGATTCAGGTTACTGTGAATAGGAAAAATTTTAAGTGTGAGAAGTTCTATGAGAAAACTGTAGTTTTACTTCAGTGGGACTTTTTGACTTATATACTCTAAGAAATGACTTTAAATTATGTAGAAACCATTATTGAGATATTTGTGCAAATTTCAAGGACTGGCCTCTTAGTAAAGTACTTTTTTTACAGTAACTCTAACGCTTTATTTATTGAAGGCATTAGAGTGTAATTAAAATTGGGGAAAAAGTTATTAAAACTTTAAAACTTATTTCAGTTGTTTAAACTGAAAAGCTACTTAAAGTGCATCAAAGGTGTTTGTATTTCTGGAAATCCTTATAGGCTCCGTTTTCTTCTACTTGCATATTTTAATTTTTTATTATCTATATGTAGCCTGGCGTTGTTAGGTTATCATTAGAATATCTCCAAAAAATTGAGAACTTAATGGTAAATGGTGTCCATGAATGTTCAGCAGCAGCTTAGAAAAGTGGATGTTGTTCAAGTTGGTTGAATAGGAACAGGTGAATATTTCTGTGCAGAGGGAACTGAAAAATCATTGATTATGAGTGGAGTGGGTTTTGGTTGAAAAGGCACATTGTCCAGACAAAATTTTGTTTCCTGTTTGATGCCTTTTTAGTGGCATCTGTGTGGGTTGCCTGATGAATGATAAATTTACACTTTCCAGCCATATGGAATTGAAAGACTGTCTTCAGCTGTCATTTACAGAATAGCCATACTGATCTAGACTTGCCCCATCTTCCCTACCCCAAGAATAGACTCTTCATCATTATGAAATTTCATTAATGTTGTGTAGTGACGATGAACTGCACTCCCACATCTTACCTTCTAAGGAGCTGTTGATTTTTTTTAATGTGCAGGGCAACTTAATAGATGGTATAGTAAACACGGGCTGGAACTTGGCTGTGCATGGATAACTCTAGGCTGCTAGGGCAGAATCAGCTTGGCTTCGATGAGTTCAGCCTCTTGCTGAAGGATTTCAATATGTGAAAAGGGTGATTTGGTTGGAAATCAAATTTGGATTCCAAAAAGTGTTTGAAGAAGTTCCTCGCTAAAGGATTTTTAAAAACTATGCAGTTACAGAATGAGTCCTATGTGGATAACTGATTTTAGCTGGTTTGCAATAGATAGAAAACACAGGGTAGAAGTCAAGGTTCTATTTTCACAGTAAAGTCACCTCCAGGGAGGATTCCCTGGAATTTTATGCTTAACCTGTGCTGTTTAATGTATTTACTTGGAAAAGAGCTAAGTTGTGAAATATGAAGTTAATCAAGAGATAGTGGGATCAAGGTCTAACTGTGAAAAACTGACTGGTTAATACATGGTTATTGAATTCTGCATAGAAAAAGGAGAGTGATGTTCATTGGGAGATAAAAAAAGCGATCTACAAATAAAATGGTCTGAATTGATCATTACTACTTAGGAGGGACATGTTCAGTGCTTGTCTGAGCCTAAAAAGCTCAAGTGTATCACACAGCATACAGCGTGCCCTCCTATCTGATTTTTCAGCCTGTTTGCTGAAATGTCTCAAGTATTTTATGTAGCTTACTTACATAAGGAACTGAATAGATTTCTCCAGTGTTCATCATCAGCTGGAAAACATTTACTTGAGTTATGCTGGATATGTAATTGATGATGGCAAGAAGCTAGTCTTCCATATCTTTTAGTCCTTTCCTGAATGACAAGGTAAGAACAGAACAAGTGTGTATGAGCTAGGTAGAGGGAAGGAGGATATTAGATAGTGGAAACTCTTTTATGCTTGAGAAACTGAACCTAGTATTAAAGACACTTCCCTATTTTGATCCAGATGTTTCAGATACTTGTAACCTACTAAATTTGCTGTTAATGCTACTCAATTCTAATGTCTAGGAAGAGGAGAATTTTCTTCTTTCAAAGATTTCTAGAATGGATGGTTTTGTCTGGATTGTGTTTCCATTGTGAAGGTAAGTGACTGCTTTTTGTCTAAGCAATGACTTTTTCTTTTATAGAAGGTGGCAGAGGCTGAGGATGACAGTGATAGTGATAGTGATGATGACGAAGATGATGTTCAAGTCACCATAGGGGATATTAAGACAGGAGCTCCACAGTTTAGGTAAGTTATTTGCAAACATTAATGGAGAAAACTTTTGAGATTATATTTAATTATGAATGCAGTCTCTTTAATGCTTGTCATTTATTTGCCTTTTTTAATATTTGCATTTTTAATATTTTTGTTATCTTTGCCACATATTTGCCATTTAATACTTGCCAAAAATGTCAGATTGTGTGCACAATTACTGTCAATTAAGAACTTTGTTAGCTCTTTAACAATGTTTTTAATGATACAGTGGCTTGAAGACAAGTGAAATTAAATCAGTGGAGTACAAGGAAGAGTTCTATATAAGTTTAAATTGTGTTTTCAGATTTTGAGAAATAATTGTATTAAGTTTGTAAAGCAGTGAGTTGTTTCTTATTAGGGAATGGCTATGTTATATAGCATTTTTGGGGTCGTTACTGTGACATTTTGGTTGCAAAGGATAGATTGGCAAGAGCATGAGAAGTGTTTATCCCTCATCCTGTTTGTAGTAGATACAGTTCTAATTAGACCTCTGTAGTTTCAATCCCTATTGATGTTCTCAAATAAGATGTTAATATTCTTAAGGAAGAAGTTGTGAGTCTCTGGAGATTATTTCCCAAGATCATTGTTTAGGCATTTATATTTATGCTGATCTCACTACTTTTATTGCCCTGTATCCCTTCTTGTCTTGAAAAAGAGCTTTTTTTTTTTTTTTTTTTTTTTTTTTTTTTTTTACTGAACACTTTTGTACAGTGCTAATTTAACCAAAATTTTGAAATGATATTTTTCATTGCATGGAAATTTTCTGAGGGACATGGTTTCCTTGTTTTTCTTGGCAATCCTAATATTTTTATGCTTATTAAAACCAGAGTTACTAGGGTGCTATTTCTTAATCGAATTATGACAGGTCTGCAGGTAGGTTTGACTCATGTATTACATGCTTTTAACTTTAGAATGCAGGTGTTTTACTCCTGTTTGAAACATAGTATTTTTAAACTTTCAGTATTTTGTGTTCTAAAATAATGTGCAAATGAATGTAATAGAAGAAGCGCCGATTCTTTCAGTTCTTTATTTTTCTGCTTTCAGTAACTTGCAGTATTCTTGTGGTCTAGGCAGTGGCTTCAAACTTTGTGGTACTAAAGCAAAACTAGATATATATTCTCAGTGGATTTGCTGATGCTCTTTCCATGTATGCAGGAGACAATGAGCAGGTGATCCTAAATCTAGTCAGAGTAGAAAGTTTTATATAGAAAGGCCTGTCTTCTGAAAAATCTTCTTTCCTGGGCAAATTAGACAGAAAGTTCACAGAAGGGCAGAAATGTAAAACAAACTGAACATTGTTGTACATTTTAACTGCAGTAGAACAAGTCTGTTTTCTAGGATTAAACAGATTTTCATATAGTAGTCAACCACAGTTAAAAAAACTTGATAGATTTGTTTCACAAGATCATGCACAAATACAGCATGGCAGATTAGAAGGTTAAATGTTTTGTGTCAGTTTTATGCTGTTGTCACACTTGAAAGAAAACTAACACTGCGTGGAAGTGGATACTGTAAACTATACCCTGACCTTCTAATTATATGCAAATCTCATGATGTATATGGGTCACCTGTGAGGATAAGTTACATTACACAGAAGTGGTAGGGAGAGCTAGCTCTTAATGTTACAAATGAACAATACTGTAATTGCTAAGGTAGTTAGATCTGTTCAGTAGTTAGGTTTCCGAGTGCATTTTTCTGAAGAAAGCTCTCAAGTATTTTAGAAAGTGAAAAATTACATACTTTTCTGTTGTTCACGAGGATGGATGGTTACTAGAAGTACATTGAAACAGCACTTCTATCATTTTAGAGAAATGCATGTATTTTCCACTTCTATATAGATTAAATTGAATGATTGTGAAAAGAGAAAATGATCCATCTAAACCCTTCCTTTTTTTTTTTTTTTAATTTATTTTGTTTTTACTCTAATCCCCAGACTGTCATCTGTATCCCTAAATGAACCGCATTTTTCCTTTCTCTCTCTTCTTCTGGTTCTGTCCATTCTTGTTTCTATCAAGGTCTTTATCCTTTCAACTCAGGAAGAGTGACTGGGACTTGCTTCACTACTGTTTATTAGTTGGAGAAGTTGCTACTGAGCATAGAAAGGTACTCTCTCTTCCTCCTAGGCTGATCTCTTTACTTTTACAGTTACCAGCTTGGAAAGCTAGAGATTCAGGATGGTGATTGAGCCTGGGTCCAATATGTTTCTGGATCTAGCTATCTCTTATTTTGTGTTTTCTTCTGGTTTAAAAGTTTTCTTTGTCTAATTAATTTTTTTGTTAATTTCTTGAAGTTATGGAGCAGCACCGGTGAACCTCAATATTAAGGCAGGAGGACGAGCTTATGGATCTTCTGGTAAGAAAATTTACACAGTAATATTAGTAAAAAAAGTAACTGGATATTGTTTTAGATTAAGGAAATAATTGTTTCTTTTAAAACTTCTTGATAAATTTGTCTGGCTTTTAATTTATTTTTATTATTCTGAGTGTAATGCTGCTGATAAAATTCCATTTGGTAGAGACAGAAGGCTCTAACTAACTTTTCTTCACAGGTGCAAAAGTTAAAGGACTGGATCTAGATGCACCAGGGAGTATTAATGGTGTGCCACTTCTGGAAGTAGATTTAGATTCTTTTGAAGATAAACCTTGGAGAAAGCCAGGTAATTTCTGGTTTATGTTCACTGATACATATGTGTTCAGTAGGTTATTTTATTAATAACCTGATTCCTGTTGACTCCACGTGGATGTCACCTTACCTATCCCTCAGAGGTACTGTACAGCATAATTTGTTCCCTGTTGCCTTCCTGCTGTGCCACAGAGTGCTTGGGTGTGCTGTGTTTGTTAGTATACATCCCCATCACATGTCAGGAGAAAGAGATAGGCCATTTTTTTTAATACATATATATCCAGACCTCTCCTTGGAAATCTGTGTTTCTGTGGTGATTACTGCCATTGCTCTGTGCCATGGAACACAATATGAAGGAAAATGGAAAATGGTTCTGGCAGGTTTTAGCATGAAGAATGGTGAAATATAACTGCCTGTGCTGGGTTGTGTTCACACATAGACATCCATGAGCTTTGAATGAGAAACTGGGACTTGTCGCACAGGCTTCCCATGGGTCTCCTCTGTACTGTCTCGTTGGCTCAAGGTTTGTCCAGACTTTTCTAATTTTACCAGCATTTATTTGGTTTTTTAGTACCAGTACATCTTGCTGCTGCTCATACATTTTTTCTAGTGTTTGTATATTGCTATGGTAATACAAATAGTGTCTGCAAAATGGAAAAAAGACAAACCTTTGATGGTTACCTGGTGTTTGAAATGTTAGCTATATTAAATATATTCTATGCATTTCAGTTACAACATTTTTCTCTTACCCTAAAAACACTTAATGGCATCAAATGAACCTAGGAGCCAAAACAAAGTGAGAAGTCAAATACAGAACAAGCAAAACAAAAGCATAAAGCACTGAACATAAAGCAGATCTACAGATCTTATATTTATCTTGTTGTAAAGATATGGGGCATTATAATATCCCATTATATTCTCTACCCTTGGTCTCGACTTCATGGTGCTAGGCAGGTTACTGTTTCTGACTAAATTTTAATGGTTTTACAATCTTAGCGATGAATACTCTGTCTGTTGATGAATTGTACATTTCAGTTGTGCTTTTTAGATCAATACCTAATCAGTTTTGATGTTCTAAGTAGAGGTGTATATGTATGTTTAGTGGAGGAAAGATGAACTTTGTAATGTCCTAAAAAACCTATGCTTCTCTGCTTAAAGGGGCTGATCTCTCAGATTATTTTAACTATGGCTTCAATGAAGATACCTGGAAAGCTTACTGTGAAAAACAGAAGAGAATACGAATGGGTCTTGAAATTTTGCCAGTTACCTCAACCACAAATAAAATTACGGTAAATAATGCCTTTTTTTTTTTTTTTTTTTTTTTTTGTACACGTTTTTTTCCCCTGTAAAGCTGTTTGTGTGTCATAAGCTTGTTCTGCCCAGTTCAGTACATTTGTTAGAGTTTGCACCTGAACTCCCTTCCCTGAACCTTGAGTGTTACTGTGTTGCTTCACTGGCAGTTTGTGTGGATAGTGTGACAGACAGCTATAGCTAGATTGCGTCTGTACCTTTATTGAGACTGTGGCCCATCATTTAAGAATTGTGTGGTATCTTAATGGGCAATGTGTTATTTAACTTAGGCTGAAGACAAAGCTATGGAAGTAAGACCAAGTGCAGAGATTCTCGATGGCAGATACCATCTTTTAAAGGTGAATTTTAGTAAAATTTTGTTGGTTGCTCTTATTTTTCTTGGGTATTGCTTCCCATGCCAGCACAGACTGATAGAAGAACAACTGATATGGACGCAGCCATTATTTCATACTCTCATCCTACATCAGTGACTTTCTGTGTATGTCACAAAATGTGGGTTAAAAAGTATTGCTTTGTTTATCACTCTTCTGCAAGCATGTGAGTTAGTGGCCTGGTGAACTAACAAATTTCCCAGTGAAATTAATTTTTCTTGATGTGGTCTTGTGTTGATTTCTTTATTTGTAGTTGTAGTGTGTTCGTTTGTGCAGATTAAAGGATTTGTGCAGATGTGGTGGGGAAGCTTTTGTAGATTATGGCATGTTTGTTTTTTTTCCTGTGGCATTGTAGCTCTTACTAGAATGTTTTGTAACAGTTATCCTTGACAACTCTGATATGAAAATCAGTCTTCCATATTTTTGTGTTGCCCTTCTGGGGTTAGCTAACAATTAATAGCGTTATGTATAATAATCTTTCCTTTCAGAAATGCTGGTTTTCAGAGAATAGAAAGACCTACATGACAGCATTTATCTTAAGGACTGAACTTTTTTTTTTTTCTCAGTTTCTCGTTTACTTGTTTGATACTAAAGTTAAAATTATACCATAAAGGTTATTTATTTTACCTATTCTTAATATGTAGTCATTTTTGTTCTTGAACTGTCTTTGAAGTGACTTGGAATGGTTTCTTTCTTCTGTGTACTCCTGTCTATTGTGGATACAGAACTGTCAATTGCAGATGGGTGTTTTTCTCTTACATGCTACTTGAGGATACTCAATTATTTTGATTTCATTTTAGCAAGAATGGATCAGAAAGTTTCTGAGGCTTTATACCGTTCCCAGTTATCATTATAATAGTGCTGTGAGACAGTAGAAATAGTGGACAGTAGGAGTTACAATTTGCAACTGACTGTAATCTCAAACCTTTCTGAAATGTTCTGAAGGAAAAAGGAGAAGTAGTCCAACCCAAAACTTCCCCTATTTCCAGCTCAGTATTGACTCTAGTGATCAAACAGTACAGGTAATAATGATGTTGTAAGAGTTTGTAATGTTTTAAAAGGAGCTTCCAAGTAATTATTCATTTAATTAACTTTTTTCCCCTCTCTTCTGAAACAGTATCATGTAATTTCCATTATATTTACATGTAATTTATATTAATCTCCTGTAACTGGCAAGAATGTCTCCTGCATTTTCCAATTGCTCATTAATTTGTAGAAGTCTTTTTCAGAAAAATACTTTGACCTTTTCCCCCTCATATTTCTGGATAGGAAACATTAATTGAATTTTTAAATGAATTTTAACTATTTATGTGCATTTTTTTGGGTTTGGGAAAGATATGCCCATGTTTAGAAGTGACGTTCTGCAGAAACATAGTTCACTTGCCTACAAGCTGTGAGATCACAGCTTATACAATGTTTTAGCATGAGTGAACTAGCTACATAGAGTGCTGTAGCTGTGTAGCTGTACAGTGGGAATGAATCACTAAAAATAGAATCACTGAATCACTATATTTAATACTAACCCATGCAGGTTTTTCTTTCACATGTAGCTGCTGCTGAACTAAAACAATACTTGATGTACTTGTACAAAAGGTTTTGCATAGCTTTAATAAAAGAAGTGTCTGGAATTCTGCAGTACTTCAGCAACAGCAGGGTGTTTCTGAAGTATTCAGTCTGAACTAATGAAAAGTCTCTTGCAGTTTGCATAAGCCAGACTTTGAGATGATGTCCTGCTATGACTCAGAAATTTAGTGGTTTCTAGATCTCACGATCAGTGAGGCAGATGAAGAATCCATTCAAGTTTCTTGTCTCATGGTTTGCTGGTAGCGGATAGCAGGCTTGTTAGATATCTCTGTTAAGATTATAATTTTTTTTTAAATAAATGTCCTTCTTTTAAAAATCAAGATGTAATTTGGTCGATACAGGAAATTCTTCAAGAAAATCAGTTTGGTCTGTTCACATACAAATGAAATGCTTGGAAAATAAATATTTAAGCTGTCTAATCTTCTGTAACAATTCATTCTCTGGCATATTGATTCTTATATATATCAAACACAGTACTTAAGTAATACATCAATACAAAATACATAATTTTGCTAGCTGTGCAGAGGTGACAGTTTTTGAAATTCTGAATAAAGTTGGACTTACTTTCTTTTTGTGTTGGCTGTGTGTTTGTTGAGTGTTGGAGCTACTGCACTTGTGAGGGTAAACTAATGATGAAACATTATTTTGAAGGTACAGCAAGGCAGAACTGGAAATTTGGAGAAAGAGTTGGCAGTGCAGTCGACTAAACCTGATTTCACATCTCCTCCTGCCTTATTCAAATCAGGAATTCCAACAAACAGGTCAGTTAGCTGGAACTCATGACCAGAAAACTCTTTTCTACTGTTATCTCTATGTCTTTGAAGTTTATGATTTTTGTAGGAAAAGAAAGGAAAATATGTTTCTGTAACAGGTGAAAAATAAGGGTAGAGATAGCATAATCACACATAAATACTATGCTACCTTCTTGGCTGTTTGGGAAAAAGTAGAAGAAAAGGGGAGAGAACAGCAGGACCAAGTAACAAGACAGTTACAAAAATCCAGTTGTTGGTTTATGACGCTGCGTTTTCTGTGTATAATTAAATTTGCCATCATAAAATTTCTGGTTAGGGTCCTTATGAGTATTAGGTAACTTATTTTTTCAGTTAAACAAGATGGAATGTGACAGCTATGACTTTGACAAGTGGAGGAATTCCTGGAATCTAGTCTCTTTCCTGCAAGGCAGCTTTGGTTTCTCCATATTTGAATATTTTATTATATTTTCTTCGAAATGAGAGAAATTATTTCCTTAGTGAGTTCCTTCTCCCAGTGCCAGGCTTTAATAAGTTCTGTCTTCTGTATGTAAGCCACTGCTTTTTGATATCTGGCACTTGGCTTAGGATGAATCCATGCTTCTGCTTTACTTTAGTTATTTAGCAATCCTCTTTAGAAGTTTTGGTTCTGTGCAAATTAAAAGCCCTTATATTATATTATATTACAAACAATGGTAAGAAAGGTAGAGCAGGCTGTACGTTGGACACTTTCCTTGTCAACCATTAAAGATGAGGAGCTATGACCCATCTTTAGCACTGCATCCATAACTGCCTTGACTAATTTAGAGGCACTTGTGTTCAATCATTCTATCCTATAAGAGTCAGTTCAACACCCAAATGTATTTTTGAGTGGGGGGGGGATGGGCAGGAGGGTGTCAATCATACCCTTGCCTGCACTTTTCTTTCACTTCTAGAATATTCCTCCTGGTAACCTAAATTTTTCTCCAAGCTATCAGGTTATGCTGCTCTCTAGAGTAGATTTTATTTCTGGTTTTTTTTTATTTTTCTGTCTCAAAGAAATGAGAAGAGTCTTCCAAACTTTGTGCTAACCCTGTATCTATTTTTTAAAATTTTCTTTTCTGAATTGCTTTTAATGTATGATGTTCTTGTAACAGAGTTCTCAAACTGGAATGTGTTGTTCACAGGGTAAAGATTCCAAATCTATATGTAGCATAGGTTTTGTTACAACATTTCAATTCTTTGTTCATCTCAGTGATGGACAGAAAACCTCTAAACTACTTTCAGAAGTAATTAATGGCCAGCATATTAAAATGTAGGCAAGTTTAAAGTTGTAGAAAAAATGCATTGTGTACATTATGTGGTTGTGTGAAATTTGTAGATGTGATGACTGTGTCACTTTGTGACATATCACTTTGACAATTGTATCACTTATGTATTCCAGCGGGTAGAATGGGTTGTTTTGTATGTATTTAATGTGAATACTGTAATTGTAAGTTGTTACAATGAGCAAACTGGTATCTTCCCTTATTAAATACCTGCTCCTATGGATACACTTGCTTAAAATATATTATTCTGTAAAGAAAGGTATTTCTAACAAATGCTCAGAAGAGATTTTGAAAGAAAACTTTATGTTCAGAAGTCTGAGTAGCTCAATGAGTGAATATGTATTAGCTGTGTGGGTTATATACATTTCTACTTTAATGACTTTTCCATAATGCATCTACTATTTTCTAAGTGCCTGTATTACTAACTTCTGTAAAACCAGACAGTGTTTTTTGGAGTTGGAATAATTTCTTTCTTTAGTTAAAGAGTTTATTGTAGCTAGGCAGAAAATTTTCAGCAATGTAACACTTCAGTAATTTAAAATAATTGCCTTTATGCCATGTGGCATTTGCAGTAGTCTTGTTGAGAATTTGCTAGAAGCATTTCCAGAGAAATTTCAGGGAAATTAGCCCATCACTGTAGTGGGCTGTTTATTAACTTTATCTGTGGTTATGGCTTTCTGTAAGGAGATTTCTTATAGAAAATTAATTTCTGATCTTTCATTTCCATGAAAAAATACCAGTTTCAGCCTTGCAAGACTAAGTGATAGAAACTAAGGTGTTATTTTGAAAAAAAAGAGGGTTTTTATACAAATAGTTTCGTTAGTAAATCTGTTTGGTTCTTATTTATATCAGTTAGTGGTGAGCTCAGCAAAGTTGAGGCTGTCCTCAAGAAGAGGAAAATAAAACATTAAATACATAATCCAAACAAGAAAGAAGAAATATTGAACAATATCATAATTCCATACATGTTAGACTATACTGTAAGTCTACTGAACAAAGGTGGTATTCCATAGTTAGTCTGATTCTGAAGAGTCGTATGGGGGTGTTCCAAAAAGCAGCTTATTTATTTTATCTGTGGCAAGGGTAAGGATTTTTGAAGCTATGAACTTGGAAAATAACTGGGTTTGCCTTCTTGTTTTCTTCTTTTTTTCCCCCTCTTTCTCTTTGCTCTATAGAATCTAAGCTCAGTTTGCCAAATGAGATTGAGTTATCTTTCTGAATTAATCTCCATGGAAGTAGTATTCTTAGTGCAAATAGCTCGTAAATAACCATTCTCTAATTAGAGTGAGATAACTCAGAGTTACTGGAATGTTCCTTTCAAGCTACACTTTGTATGAACTCTGCTGTGGGTTCATGTGCATCCCACACGTGTGGATTGCCTTTTATGTTTCAGAGGATCCATTGGGAATGCATCTGTATCCCAGGTGCCTCGATCACGTAAGGCACAGACCAAGCTCTTCCTTTGCTTTGCTTACGGCACTGAGACAGAAACTGAGTCTTGCCTGCTACTTACCACAACTCTAGATAATGCCTAGGGAGTTGTGGAAGTTTATCCTTGTGCCAGCTTGCTGTGACCTTAATGTGCATAGGACTTAATGTGTGCTTGGAGGTGTCATCTGCTGCTTCATTTACAACTGAATCTGTGCTTTCTCTTGTCAAGCTCTTTTAGTGAAATTCTCAATGAAATGGTTATGGCAGTCTTGGAAATAGAGATTTTGTCAAGTTCAGGGTATGATGGCAAAATCCATCATTATGAAAAATAATCTGTTGGGAGTTGTTGGGAAGAACAGTGGACATAAGGCTGTACAGCATAACGTATAATCTCATTGAGATTGAGTGAGCACAGGTATATGCTTCAGAATCTAAAAAAATAAGTGAAACTGTTTATTTCAGTAAATTGATGTCTAGGAACCGACTAATTGGTAGTCTGGGTTTGCTTCATTTCATATTGCAGTGGTGTGTTTGGGCTGCTTCCCAAGGCAGAATTAATATTATTGTAATATGGTTGGGGCATATGTTGCTTTAATGCCTCATACTCTTGCACTGGTGTCACTGTGTGTGTTTTCAGTGCTGATTCTAAGAGGTGCTGGCAGTGTGCAAGCAGCACTAGAGAGGAAGAGTCTTAATTCTGCTGTGTGCATCACTCCCGGCTGGAAACCCTGTAAATCAGTGGGATGAGCCAGGCAGGGACTTTGTGCTGTAGAAGAGTGCCATTTGTTATACACAAGGACTAAAGCTAGGTAAAATGAGTTTTCTAGGATATGGTTTAGATAATTAAGAGAGGATACAGTGATGGAGGAGAACAAGTGTCTTAGAACTCTCAAACCAAATGAACTGTCAGTGAAGGCTGAGATGGTGAGAACATTGTTTTAACAACTGTTTTATAATACCTATGTTCTCAATTCAGTTACTTAGAGCAAAATAATAAAATCTAGTGTAGCAGTGCTGGAAGGCCGTGCAAGACCACTGGGAAGTTTAGAAAAGCAGGTGTTGATTATTGGAACAATCTAACTTATAGCATGGGGTATTAGAAGACCAGAGAATTTCTTAAACTTCTGTTATTGTTGTATAGTGTATAGTATATACTGTTTAATTGAAGGTATGTTCTTGGACTCTTGTACCATTACACCGGTTTTGTTCGTTTTTTTTTAAACTCTAAACTGTTGTGCTTAATAAGCTTGCTTTAACATCCAGGAGGAAGCTCTAAACGCAGATATTAAAAAGCTCAGAGGACAGGCCTTTGTATCATCCTCAGTATGCAGTCTGCTACAGAAGTTCAGATTATCTCTGAGAGATCTGTTACTTCATGCTCTAGTGTCTGCTGTGTCTTTTTCAGTTGCATTGGAATCTAGGTATTTGAGCAATTGGAGTCCAAGTTATCAGTGTGGCAGAACTCTGAGCCTATAATTCCAATTTACGGTTGTTCTCCCTAATATTTGTATTTGTGTGGTTAGTAGTACACTAGATGAAAAAAAGACAAGAACTTCTGAAACTAGAGATATTTTTTTCTTTCTATGGATTTGTTTCTGTGGACATTTCAAGAAGGTTTTTTTCCAGTCTGTTACTGTAATATATCACTGCTTAATATATTATTTTCTTACTGAAGTTTTGTGATCTTTTTGTTTGTTTGGGTTTTTTTTTTTTGGAAAATAAAAAGCAGAAAGTTGTCTTTTATGGGGAGGGAAGGAGACTGCTGTAGAGTAAGCTTTTGTCTTTGCTTATCAAAGAAGTCTTTTTTGCTGCATTGTGTAGTTCTGTACTGTTGCATAGTTCAGCAAACACATCACCTCTAATGTTCTTCAGAAACAGTCTTTTATGGTTTCTACAGAAGAAAGAACTTTTGTCATTTAGAATGAGAGGAGTCCATAAGGCTTTCTTCTCTCACCTTTTCTTTTTCTTCCCCCTTTTCTGATTCTGCTTGTTGATTCTGTTTGTCCTGTGTTGTAGGCGGATATCTGGCACAATAGATGTGATTGGACAGACCATCACTATCAGCAGGGTGGAAGGACGACGGCGTGCTAATGAAAACAGCAACATACAGGTTTTACACTGCAGTTTTGCATTCTATATTTGACTAAAAGACATTTTTGCTTTCCCCATAGCTTCTGACTAAAGCATCATTGTTTGTGAATGGGTGGCACATAAGTAATATTAAGTCCAGGAATAAAGTTTTGGCAGTTACCAAAATATATTAAGATGAAATATTTGATAAATTTCAAAAGAGAAATGTTTTGGTATACCTCTTACTGAAAAGAAATTAGTGATGTTGCAGACTTAGAGTCCAGGATACAGCATTGGCTCTGCTAGATTTGCATGGGATTGTGTTTTGTTTAGGGAGCAAAAAGATAAATATTTGAACTCCCCATTTGTCCCCCTGTTCCTTTGGACACTAATGCTGGAAGTGAAAGCCCCCTTGTATGCAGTTCGAGAAAAGCGGTCTTTTGAAAATAAGGTGTGAAGGAATAAATAGTTGGTAGTAGCTTGTTTTTAATTATATTGTAGTACTTCATCATAAATTGCAAGATTAGTCTTTATGGTTTTAGTCTAGACTTTTATTATCCTGAGAAAGCAAGTAAATCTATACAGATGGAATACACTTCTCACCTGAAGAATCAGAGAGAAGGATCAGGGTTGCTTGGTACTCCATTTGCATTTCCATGCCAACTTAGGTTGAGGTTAAATAGTGAAAATAGTAAAGGACTGTAGTGCTGATATTGAAAACACTACCATGTGTTTTTCATCTGATCTCAGAGTATTTAAGTAATTTATAGTCTTGGGTTGTTTTCATGCTTTTCTTATTGATTTTTATATATTTTCCATTATGCAAATTTTGGGTGCTCTTAGACCTTTAAAGGTACTAGGCAAATATGGAACACTGAACATAGGTGTATGCAGTTAGAATTTACACCATCTGAATATGGGACTTTAGATTCCTATTTTAGTAACTGAAGGAAAGAAAACCTGTCTTGTGCTCTTTTCACATAGCAATTGTAACTAGAATTTGGTATTTTACAGGTTCTTTCAGAACGCTCTAATCCTGAAGTAGACAGTTTTACCAAGCCACCTCCATTTTTCCCTCCAGGAGCTCCACCTACTCACCTTCCACCACCTCCTTTCCTCCCACCCCCTCCAACTGTCAGTACTGCTCCACCTCTGATTCCCCCACCAGGTAAATATCCTGCACTATATAGGATGTGAATAATGAGAGATTTTTTTAACATCAGATTCTTGAGGTGCATTGTGCAGAATTTCAGAATTTCATGTTCTGCTCTTTTCTTAAGTGTATCTGCAAGGCAAACCCAGAAACTTTTGGTTTTACTTTCTCAGTAAGCATAATCCCCAGTAATAAATGATGACTTAGAGAATTACTGCTGGTTCTTGTGTTCTTGAAAATGTTTGAAGTGAGAAGCTGTATTCTGTAATTCAGTAACTGTTAAAGTGATTGAGAGGTCCATGTTAACACATTATTCTACAAACTTTAGAACTAAAAGTATGGCTTACTATGACTTTATGTCACAAGTTGGATTCTCTGATGTCTAAGGTCAAGGCAGCAAGAGAAGTTCTAATTCCTCTTTTCTCTCACAGCATGTATGAATTCCCAAAAGTCTGATAAGTATTGCATATGCTCCGTATCCTTTCTTCCAGTTAGGAGTCTTTTTAGTCCCTGATGTTTTTTTCCAGTGTTTTGTGTCTGTGAATCTTAGAGGAATCAAAGCTCTGTGAGAACTCATCCCATTATTAATCTGTTTTGAAATTTACTGGTATTTACTGAATATTTATTGAAATTTGACATATATGGAAATTTACTGATGGGCATTTGCACAAGTGGTACAGTGACCTGTACTGCTCATTTTAAGACAGTAAGTTCAAAAGGATTTGGCAAGAAACTAAGAACTGTTCATGAGAAATTAAAATAGATGGAGAATCTTTGTGGTGTATTTGAGTAGGAAAGTGAAGCATTTGTCTACAGAAGAGACTGATTTAAGGTGGAGCCTTTTTCCTTATTTTCTCCTGTTCCTTGAATTTTTTTGCTTGACTTGTTCTGAAAATCATGCTGAGCAGTTTCTTTGCTATTTTGCTTGCAGAGGAAATATTTTAAGTTTCTCTGTTAATATTCTTATGTAGAAACAAGTCACATTATTTGTGTGCAACTATGAGCTTTTATAGGGTTGAAATCCTCATAGAATAAGTTGCTTCAACAATTGCCCTAATTTTAAAACTTAACTCATTCTGCCTGGCAAGTTCTGGCTTTCCTCCATGATGGTCATACACAAAAATCACAACACACAGAAAACTGAGGAGAAGAGATTTAAAAAATCTCTGCCCTTTTCTTTTTTTTTTTTTTTTCTTTTGTTTTTTTTAATAAGTATAAAAATCTTAAGTGAGATTATGGCAGTGCTATGGTGATTTTGTGATGTTTTCTTACTGGGGGGGAGAAGAACAGGAAGGGGATGGATGTGACAATGATGCTTGCTGTGGTTTTAAGCTTCATTTAAACCTTTATGATAAAACAATATGTGTAATGAATTGCAACTTTTTAAAAACTAATTATTTTAATTGTAATTGGGTTCAGAAAAGGTGTTCTAAATTGTATATTATCAAAAACATGAGAACCACCCCCACAGACACCCCAGACATACTTGGTTCAGGGGTGCCACATACAGGTACTGGACTATTCTTATGAAACCCCTCACCTATTGCAATTTTAAAGGTGAAGGAAATCCACATATGTTGCAGATCAAGCCAGCAGGTTTGGCTTTAGTCTCTTGGTTTACAGGCAGGTTTATGACACAGGCTTGTTCAGAAGGTCTTGTGGAACATCCTTCAGTACTTCAAGTAGATTCGAAAATAATGATTAAGAGCTGTGGATTTAGTTTCCTCAGGCCTGTGTTTTAATTGTGCTGTTGCCAGCTCTTTATCATCAAAGCTGTTCCAAAAATAGGTTCTGCCATCCCTCCTTGGTTCATTGGAGGAGGAGTAAAAAAACTACACTTACCCAATATTAAACTGGGACTACTTGCCAGAAAATTTAAGTATTCCAAATATAAAACATCCTCCAAAAGCGCCTTTGAAAAAGGATCTTGCTTTGAAGTTAGGTCTCTTGTACTGTATTCATTCACTCTTGTGATTCAAATCTTTGAGGAACAAGTCTTGGAACAATTCAGAGCACCAAATGTAGAAAATTGTCAAATAGTCCTAGGAGATGACTGGCTGTGGCAGAATACGTGCTAGTTTCTGTTTGCTAGGTTTATTGCTATATTGGTGTAATTTTCATCTAAAGCAAAGCATGTATGGCTGTTACCAAGGCTTTAAAAGTTTATGTGCTTTGGTTTAAGTCTGTAGTTAAAAATGTGACAGGTATTTGTGATTTAAAAGACCAGAAATTTCTCTGAAATACTCAACTTCTTTTGCATAACTTCGCAATGCATACCAGGGTTTGGTGTGACTGCTCAGGCTCAGCATCCTAAGTGTGTACTTCTTGTCTTTTGATACAGAGAATTTGACCCAATTTAGCCTGTGGCAAGAGAGCCAAGTTGAGATATATTACATTTCTGAGGGCTGCTACACTGTTCAGCTAATTTACAGTATGTTGTTAAAGTCTGGCTGTGTTGTTCATGTTTGATTCCTTGCTCCACAAGCAGAGCACGTGTGGCATTGCTTTCCTTTAGAAAAACATATTTGATTTTCTGTAAATACTTGCCAGCCCTGAGCTAGTAGGATGGTATACAATGTTCTGAAGGCAGTTTTGAGCGTGGTAGGTAAAATCATGCACTAATGACATTTGGGTTGCTTTTGACACACAAGTCTGAGTATTTAGCTTTATGCTGGATGTATCTTTATGGCAGCACAATGATGTTGTAGGGACCTGACAAAGTTGATACTAAGCCACATTCTTGCACTGGTACAATCTAGTCTCTTTATTGCAAGAAACGACAAAATATTTCAGTGTCTTTTCTCAGCAGTAATTGACTGGTGACACTACAAGTGTATTTTCATACTCTTAGAAGGCAAAGGAGTGAAGAGTTAAGAAATTATTTCTTCTCCATTAACTGAAGCTTATGATTTTTTGTCTTGTTTTGTGTCGTATTTGTGTATTAGTGAGGAAGGTGAGGAAAAATATTTATTGAGATCTTTTTAGATTTTTTGTCAATTTGGTACATAGAATCTTTTGTTGTTTGTGATACGAAGTAAATTAGGTTCTGTTTTAAAATTACACAAGCATTAATCATGACTCTAAAAGTTCTTAAAGGTTTTTGTGGGAAGGTATGCTTACGGGTTTTCTTGTGTAGTACCCTACATTAACCAATTCATTAAAATTATTTGGACATTTGGTCTCTAGATATTAGTTCTATTCAGTCTGTCTTAATTTTGTTTGAATAGTTGTTAAGTGAAAATTTTCATTTGGCTTTTAGTCTTGTGGTGATATTTTTACTTTTAATTCTGCACAAGATAATATTCTTGTAAATGAGGAATATATAAATTGTTTAATACAAAATTTTTCTTTTTTGTAAAGAGGAGTTAGCTGATGGATTTCCAGGCAGTTCTCTGGATAGTGCTGAGTGCCATTTGCAGTGCTAACAATATACTGGTTTTAGTGCAGCAGTTGAAATCTTTTTTAGTATAAGGTGTAGCTAATAAATCTCCATAATGCTTAACATTTATTTATTATATATACTTTTTTTCTATGTTTTAGGCTCATGGAGGATCTATTCATGAGAACAATTAACCAAAAAAAGATTAATAGTGAACACTTTGGCTGTGCAACAGTTTGAGTTCTTAATCTTGATTTTCTTTCAGGAATTTTCATCAGGAGTGTTTGGTCTTTCAAAAATTTTATGGTGTGGTGCCCAGTGTTCTTAACAACTGTAGTGCACATTGGAAAGCTTGCATGCTGGTGGAGAGAAAATGGCTCATGTGGCTCAGAAATTTGGCTGTTGGAGTTCACTGTCTCCTGATTTTCATTTCGGCTAAGAGATCAGATTTTAAATCTTTCAGATTGGACAGAAACCTCTATTATATTTCACCATATGTTTAATCCTGTAGGATTAATGCTATTAGGAATTAATGTCAGAGAAATTGTCAACAATTAGTGAACTTTGATATTGATCTCTGTTCCTCTGCTTGCATATTCCTTCATTCTGTCCTTCTATCAAGGCAGTCTGGGAGCAGTTGGAATTTCTAGACATTATAAATATGTAGATTTAGTAAAATGTTGCTGCCATACAATAATCTTTTAATTTTAATGTTGAACTAATGAGATGTATGTAAATGTTGTCATGCAGTGGCCGGTACTGTTCTGTGTGAATGTTTATGCAATTATGTCAGTACTGATGAAAGCACTTGCCAGAGTTTTTTGTTCTCTTCCCTCCCCAAAGCTTTGCCATGAGCTGTCAGATTGAACATACATACATTTTAATGGAAGCAGAATTGTTGATAACTGAAAATGCTTTATACCTGGTGAAGTAGTCTATTTTCTGCCAGTATTGTTTTAGGCCAGTTTATTATATAGCAGTGTTACATGTTCAGTTCAGGTAAAGCTAGTTCTTTGCAAAGCATGGGAAGATAAGAACCTTTGAAGTGCACAAATTATTTTTACCTTGCAATCATTCCTTTCATAATCAGTAAGAGAGGTGTATATGTTGACGCAGTATATTTTGTTAGGTCAGCTAATTTAGTTGGGAACAATTTTCTCAGCTTTTAGTTAGATTCATAACAGGTTAGCTAGATCTGAAAATCAGGTTAGAGTAATTCTTGCACATGTTTCTGTTAAAGGCTGCTCCTTTCTCAGATAGTTACAAGAAACTAGAGAAGAAACCCAATTTTTTTCCCTCCACGTAGCAAATGAATGATGAACTGCAGTGTCATAGCATTGGCTCAGACATCTGTATTGCTTACTGCTGCCTGAATTCTTTGTTCATGCGGACCTACTGTTTCCTGTGCCAAGCTATTGAAGGTCAGAGGCCAATTGCATTTCCTTCCACGGAATGTAAAATAAAGCAAATGTAGTCTATGGGATGTTGCTTTCCTTCTGTATACTAAGCATTTTAGAATTACGAATTTAGTTCTAACCTTGAGACTCAGAGTCACTCTTCACTGGTTTTGCCTCTAAATAAATAAGATCTTAAAGAATAGGAATTTAAATCAAAAGCTAGATTTCACAAGGCTTATATAAAATTTTAACAATCAGTATAATGTGACATCTTGACCTGAGGACCCAGAGTCACTTTTGAGACCCAGAGTCACTCTTCACTGGTTTTGTCTGTAAATAAATACGATCTTAAAGTGTAGGAATTTAAATCAAAAGCTAGATTTCACAAGGCTTGTATAAAATTTTAACAATCAATATTAATGTGACATCTCGACCTAAAGACACAGAAAATATGTTGTCATTCTTCTTGATCATGTATGTAGTGAAAGCTCAATCTGGTTTTAGATCTACAGATAAGAAACTATTACTGTAACTGATATTTGTTGTCTTTTTAGGTATACCAATAACAGTGCCACCACCAGGTAAATTTGCTTAGATTTTATTTCCACATTTGGTTAAGAGATGAAAACTTAACTGATGTGCAACTTAGCAACTTCTTTCAATTTTATAGATAAAGGGTTATGTGTGCTAAACTATATGTGTATATGTAGACTGAGTTATTTTGATGCTGGGCAGAAGAGAAATTGTATGAAAATGCTGTTGACTATTGGACCTAATCAGCCAGTTTTCTAGATGTATATTTCCTTCTTTAAAATATTTTTTTCTCAGCTATGCAGTAAATAGTTTTGATTGTTGTTTATTGAGTGTTAGAATTTGTCCATGCTTTTATATCATCGTATTTTTAAGAATGATAAAGTTTTAATTTGAAGCACTGATAATATATGCTTCGTGTTTTGCCTTTGTCAAGCTGAAAAGTAGTTCTTAGTCTTGCAAAATAAAATCCATTTATGTGGGAACAATTTTTCATTATTCTCTCTGGAATTTGTTTGCCGTGGTATGCTTAGCCTAGTTCTTTTATGTGTTCATGGGTGATAGATTTTTAATTTCTCCCCTCCTTATCCAATTTATTGTTACAGGTTTTCCACCACCACCTGGCGGTCCTCCACCTTCCCTCATACCCACGATAGACAGGTGATTATCTGTTTGAAATCTTACTAAGCAATCTATCAGTGTTCTGTAGATGAAATAAATGAATAATACTCTTGCATTGCCCAGTGTTTTATGGATATACATCTGGGAAAAGGGAGACAGCTTCAGATGTTTACAGTAATTTTACAGAAATGTTACTAGTCTCACCTCTCAATATATTCTTTGAGTAGGTTACTTGGCCACCTACTAGTTTAGTTATGACACAGTATCAAAATATGAAATTAGTTACAGTTTTGATAGTAAATCAATGCCAAGACCTAAGGGAATGATTATTAAAGTACTCCTTGGCACTCTGAAGGCTTATTTATGTGATCTGTATACTTTTCAGCTCTCATATCCTTTGTTATAGATGTACACAAAAATTTGAGCACATATTCAGTAAACTATAAGAAGTGCCAGAGTTCCACAGAATCCAAATTTGTGTTTATATTCTGTTCTAAGTCTTCAGTTGTAACAGGCCTAACCTGTTAGGCTAGGAATTTTTCAATACCATTTTTATATGTATATGCATACATATATTTGTATATCTAGGTATAAATATATAAAAGGAGGAAAAAGGTTGGCTAGTGCAGTCCTTGAAAAATATTTGTGTTTTGCTGGAGGCCAAAACCAGGTTACATACAAAACTCACTTAAGATGGTAAAAACCTCTTGTCAGTCCTCTGGATCTCACTGAAGGAAGATGCACACAACTGTTCCTTTGAAGTTGAAAATTCTGTTAAAATACATGATATGGGAGGATGATGGAAAATCTGAGAAAATCTTCATATTATTTAATTGAGAAAAAATCCTAACTTAATACATCATATGTGCATTTAAGTAAATGTATTACTTTGTACTGACAGTTGCTGTGAATAAGTGCTGCTTCTGATTCTACATACTGTATATAATATATATATTATAAATATGTATCTGTTTATTGAAGGAGGTGGCTTTGTTGCTAAAGCTGAGTTTTAACATGTATCTTTAACATGCTGACACTGGTTTTGCATGTGTGTTCCACAGTGGACATTCTTCTGGCTATGATGGTCGTCCGGTTCGTGCATTTTCCTATGGCAGTGGTAAGTAACCAAGCTTTCTGGCTTTGAAAATTTTGACCAGTGTGATACCAAATTGTTTGATACAGTTACGAGGATTTTAGCTAGAAAACTAAATAAGTCTTGTCAGTATTTCATTATGAAAGCTCATTGCTGACCATTGTAAATAGCTACATGCTGCTGCAAATTTAACTGCTATTGGTAAATGCTATTGTTTTGCATATTAATTTATATACTGGATATCTTTTCCTGCTGCTTTTGCAGAACCGTTATTTTGAAGAATTATATACCATAATATGGGCTGCAAGTCAGGGAGAATTTTTCAAGGATTTCAGAGCAGGAAAACAAGTACTGTTGACATATCATCAGAATTTTAATTACTAAGAGCAGTCATTCAGAAATCCTGTTGATGTACCTCTCCTTTGAAAAACCATTTGTCTAAGACACTATAACCTTCGGCTGTACTATTGCAAAGTCTGTCTTCTTTGTCTTCTTTTTTCTCTTTTTTTTTTTTTTTGTTTTGTTTTGTTTTGTTGTTTTTTGGTTGTTTTTTTTTTTTTTGTTTTTAAATTACTGTTATGGGGAAAAAATGCTGGAAAACTTGACTTCATGTTTTTTTCAGTGAAAGTGAAATAAGAGTGAACTGAACTAAAAGATTCATCATGTGCCACCAAATGGTCATCCACAGAATATATGCTGAGTTTAGAACTGTTACCTAGCTTCTTGACCCAAAGGAGAAAATAAGAAGAGGAGAAAATAAGAAGATAAAGTACATAGAATTATAAAATGATTTGGCGTGGAAGGAATAATCAAAAATTATCTATTTCAAGCCTCCCTGCCACGGGCAAGAATACCTTTCACTGGATGAGTTTGATCAAAGTCCTGTCCAACCTGGCCTTGAACACTTCTAATGGTCGGGCATCCCCACTTCTCGGGGCAACCTGTGCCCCACCACCATCATCATAAAGAATTTCTCTCTTATGTCCAATCTAAACCTGCCATTTCTCAGAGTAAAACCTTAGCCCCTTGTCCTGTCACTACAGGCCCTGGTAAGAGGTATCTCTCCATCTTTCTTTCTTAAAAGTCCCTTCGCAGTATTGAAAAGCCACAATAAGGTGTGCCTAGAGCCTTCTCTCCTCCAGGATGAGCAACCTGAACAACATAGGAGAGATGTTCCTGCTCTCTGATAATTTTTGGTGGCCCTCCTCTGAACCTGCTGTAACATATCTTTGTTGTACTGGGGTCTCCAGAGCTGGATGCAATGCTCCAGGTGGGGTCTCACAAGGACACACAAAGAATCACCTCCCTCAAGCTGCTGGCCACTCTTCCTTTTGGATGCAGCCAGGATACGAGTGGCTTCCGGGGCTGCAAACTCACAATGCTGGCACATGTTTAATTTTTGCCCACCAGTATCCCCAAGCCCTTCTCTGCAGAGTTGCTTTGAATCAGTTCATCACCAGTTTGTACCAACACTGAGGACTGCCCTCCCTCAGATGCAGGACCTTGCGTGTTGCCAGTCACTACCTCTGCCTTCAGTACATCTGCAGTCCTGCCCCCATGCCTAGTGCCTTTTTTCACCTAAATTCTGTTGCCTTGCTCCTTTGAACCCTAGGTAGTGAGAGGAGAAATTGTAGGGAAAGTTTTGTCTGTTTCTGAGATGTGTGATGTTCAGCACAGATCAAATATTCAGCAAATCTTTCCCAAATGTTCCAAAGTCTTAAGCATGGGTATACCAAATGGCATTTTGTACTGGCTTGCAATTTCTTGAAGTTGTAGCAGTTCGTGGAGTAACAAGCAGTACTTTGTTGACGTTGTAAGGATCCTCATGAGTTATCAAATGTTTGCTTTCGTGCATTGGAAGCTTGGTATGTTTTCAAGAATTCTTGAAAAAGAATTGCACTTTAGACTTCTTTTTTAGCAGTAATTTAATTGTGCTTTAGCAAAAAGGTAAAACCTGAGATGCACAACTAAAGCCATGCAGAGTATCTTAAGGAAAGCAGACTTAGTACCACATACTAACGTGTGTATGTGGCATCTGTTACATACTCTCCAGTGTAGAATATTTTTCACTTTGGTGTCTCTTTTGTTAAAATTTTCTATTCTGTCAAATATTGTCAGGGACATAAGAATATTTCCAAGTTTCATGTTGACCTTTAGAGATGATGGCATGCTTGTGTTGTTGCAGCACCAGTTCTAAAGGATGACTGTTACCTTGATCATACCAACATTGAATTTTAACTTCTTCAGCAGGATTAAAATATCATTTGCCTTTATATAATTATGGAGACGAAGGAGTACAGTCCACTCCTGTCTTCCCAGTGTGCTTCCAGTGTACCTTGTATCCCTGTTGCAGCAAAAGCTTTCATATTTGCTGCGCAAAGCAATTGTCTGTCTCAAAGCTGTCTGTGTCATAGGGATTTTTGAAACTGTAGAGACTCAGTGGCATTTTATCACTGTTGCTCATCTCTTAGTGAAAAATATTTTCCTAGTGAGCATCATACTGTCACAGTCCCTGTTGTGCAGTATGATCACTGGTCAGTGTTTAACAGTGCTCTCTGTGAATCAGAACTTGGGGATATTGAGAGCTCCACAGTGCACAGATATCACTGCGGTTTGCAGTCACTAAGTATATTTATTTAATAGTTGCTTTGGATGATAGCATTGAATCTCCAGCCTGTTGTCTTCTTTGACAGTCTGTGCATTTCCTAGCTTTGTCAAAATTGCAGGGGAAGATATGCAAATGGAACACATTGCAAAAAGTACCAGTCTTGATTAAGGTACTAGCCCTTCTGCCTATTCAAATTCCTCAGCTCATGCTTTGATGTATCTTCTCTTGTTGTCAGTTGGGTTTCCAATTGCAGACCCATTAGGAGGGTTACATAGTAAAGTAATAACTTACAACTTCAAGAATGTCTGTTTTGTTTTTGTGCTCTTCCACCACATCAATGTGGTTTAGTCCACTTGCACTTAAATCCTTCACAATTCAGTGCTACCTCTGCCATCATACCTTTGGCTTTGCTTGAGCTGCATTTGGTCAGTCACTGAAGCACCTTCCATCATATGCTTGTTTGCTTTTTCCTCCGGTAGTTCTCTGGTCTGTGCTCTAAATGTTCTTTAAATCTTAGGAACTTGCAAGGCATTTAACATTACAGAAACAGTTTAAGAGTCAGTATTTTTTGAGGCACAAGCAAGAAGCATTAAATAGTTTGCTTTATGCCATGAAGCTTTAAGTTTTTAAAGTATCTCCAAAACTGGGCTCATGTCTCCAAAACTAGTAATTATTCAAAGCTCTCTTCCTGTTATAAAAATAAAATCAGAGTTAAATTTTTGAAGCGTCTTCCTTCTTGTAGAAATTATTGGAATAATCCATGTAGAAATAACAGAAGTGACAAATCATTTCATTCAGTGTAGTAAAAACAGAACACCAGTTCATACTAGAAAGTAAGCTTCTTGTGTGTTGTGAATAATTTCTAGTGAAAATCTAGATATAAAAATATGTGGTGTGTCAAATCACTGTTTTATCTCATGTTACTGGGGAGAAATACTTCTGTCTGATGAGAGTTACTCAAGATGTGATAGAGTATCCCAAAATTTATTGTAAAAGTTTGTACTACCATTAATAATTGGTTTGTAGTATACATTTAAAGTTGAGTTTAAGTTTAAACTTTAGATCAGAATACACTGACAGCCAGTGTCTCATGTACCATACGTGTGTTGTTGACATAGTGGCAAGTCAAGGAAATTAGCAGTCTTTTAAGTCCAGCTGTTTTTTCTGCTATTTCTGGCTGCTTTCCTTCAACGAATTTCAGGTCTTGGCAGCATAATGAGCAGCATAATATTGTATTAGGACATTTTTATCTGTTAACCCTTCATTTTGCTTGTAGACCTGAAGTTAAACAGTGTCAAGCATTTTATTAGAGGCAAAACCTTGTAGAAATGCTTTTTTAAGGAATTATAATACTTTTCATTGCAAATGTATTTTAACAATGAAGTGTTTTTTCATGCTTCACTGCCTGCTCTAAAGGTCTTTTGTATTCCTCCTCTGGATGCTTGGCAAACTGCTCTTAAGCTTCTGCCAAAGCTTTCTGGGGCAGGCATACCCCAGACGTTACAGGCAAGGCAGTCTGAACATAGCTGTCAGCAGAAGACACTGGTTTTATAATTCAGCAGTATTAAATGCAGCACCAGTAGCACACTTTTCATTGTTCAGTAGATATTTATGTTAATTGTACTGTTAATCTCTTTGTGATACCAGGAAGTCAATTAAATATTGTTCTCATATTATAGATGATGAAGTGGAGCTCAAAACAAACGATTTATTGAAAGTTAGGAAAGCTAGCAAGGCAGATAAGCAGAAAGGGAGAAGTCCTCAGTACTGTAAGTCCGCTAGAGAGTGCTGTTTCCAGCTAAATACTCAGCCCTTGTTTTTCCTTTACAGGATGCGTTCACGGGACTTCTGGCGAGGGAGGGCAGGACAGAACAATTGGGGCATTAAAAACAGCAGTTCTGTATTACACTGAAGTTGGCAAAAAGCAGTGGAGAAGCATTCCTTCTCCCCACTGCTAGCTATCTAAAAAAGGTTGGGAGACTGTGTTAAGACTTCCTTCTTATTATCTTAACATGTCACTTCTAGAGTAAGACTATGCCTGATTTTCTTAAACTGTTACATTTTAGTGGTATTAGTGTTTGTGCTGAGTATTCATAAATGTTATCTTACAGAGCACAAGTGGGAGCATTATTTCTTCTCGCCAGAGTGAATTTATTTCTTAAGCCCCTTTTACATCTGTAATCAGAAAAGTCTGACAAAACATAGTATAGAATATAAATTAGTGAATGAGAGCTTCATAGCTAACATTATATTTTAAATACAATGATTTTGAAGTACAGGAGATAAAAATAATAGTATTTGACTACAAGACTGGAAGTGTCCTTTTTCTGAACTGTATTTTCAGAGCACCTGAGTTGCAAAGGCAATTTTGTTTTCTGGTTGTTTTTGTTTTGTTGTTCCCCAGAAATAAAGCCATTTGACCACATAGAATCAGATTCTCTGAGCAAGTATTTGCACAATTTCTTTTTCCCCAAAAGTGTTTAGACAGTCTTCGGGGTACGTACCCTGGCTCTGTACGTCCTCATAGGAAGTATTTAAATGAGTTACAAAAGCCAGAAGCTTTTGTAATAATTCTGGAAAAAATGCAGTGTTTGCTTAGCACTAAGTGAAAGGGGAAGATTAAAATATGTAATTGGACGAAACTGACAAATGCATTAGTTTCCATATGATTTTTGATTTTGTTCTTTCTAATAACTACATCTCTTTCTTTAGTCACCTTTCCACACCCTGCGGGTTCTGCACCCTCATGGTCTAGTCTTCTGGACACCAGCAAACAGTGGGATTACTATGCACGAAGAGAGAAGGATAGGGAACGTGAGAGAGAGAGATCCCGAGATCGGGATCGTGACCGGGACCGGGACCGAGACAGAGATCGAGACCGTACCAGAGACAGGGAAAGGGACCGAGATCACAGTCCGTCTTCAAGTGCATTCAACAGGTCAGTGCACTGTCCTAAACGTGCTGTAACTCTGCTCAAATCCCTCTTCTCTGTTAAACAGGGTACTTCAACATTCAAATTTAGTGTTCTGCTGTGTATCCCAAAGAGCTGGGTGATGTTGCTTCACCCTTTTCCCTTGGAAACTATAATTCTAAAATTCCACATGTAAAACAGAAGCAGAAAAAAAGGACAGTATACATCCAAATTGGTCATAGAGCTTTACAGGTTAAAGGTGATTTAAGTCTTGAGAATATCTGAAATATCCATCTCTTTTTGACATCAGTAGGTTTAGAAAAAAATCTACAGAAAAATCTATAGAAGTACCAAATGAATTTTAGTTGTCAATTTGGTACTAAGAGCAATGTGTTGCAACATTTGACCTTAATTAATGGAATTAAATACCTGCTAAAATGGTTAATACGGTTGTTAAAAGTGGCTGGATAATAATCTCTCATATTTAAAACTATTATTTCAAGGTCAAGAACTTTTCATATTTAAAACTGTTATTTCAAGGTCAAGAACTTTGATTTAGATGATGAAAATCATGTCAGATAAATTTATTCAGCATTCTAATTGCTTTTTAAAAAAAGCTGCAACTGTTCTGTGGTTCATATGCTAAAGTACAAAGCACTTAATACTGAGCTCACTATGACTTCATAGAACAGAGGTCTATTGGTTAGCCAGATTTTTCTAAATTTCCTCTGCTTGTTATCTGCTAAGCTTTTTGGGGTAAATATCTGATGCTTTTCTCAGGGTTCATTATTAAGTTTAAATTTTTGCAGAATATATATGTTAGCTGTTAGGCAGCTTGTTTTTAACTAATGATTTTAAGCTAGAGGGAGAGCACAGAGGGAGAGTCAACATTACTGCGGTTGAGAGATGACATTTTTGCATGATGATTGTTAGCTGAAGACCCAAACTGGGTGCAGGCTGGGGGATTTTGCATGTGTGCTGGTGTGGTGGTGATGTCCTCTCCTGTGGGCATGTGCTTCGTTCCAGGGTCAGTGTCTGAGGGCTGAAGACCTATCTAAACATCTGTTTCTCAGACAGCTTGATTGAAGGCCAGAAAGAGCCCTGGTCATTCAAGGGTGCTTGAAATGAACCTTAATAGCTTCCAGGCCTCAAGAAATCTCTGTGCTGCTGCCAGAGTTATCTGTAAAGGAGGGGGAAGAGCAGGCCTTGACTTTTTTATGTGACTAAATTATCCACCATCTGTAGCAAAGCTGCTGCCACATGGCTGTATAAGAAAATGGGAGGCCCTTAACTGGGATAAGTTGGTTTGGGAATCACAGAAGAGGTGAGAAGCTTAAGAAAGAACATGCAGATATAATGTTTCTTAAGAAGGTTTATTTTCAATACTGTGCACTTATGAAAATAAAATCAATGGAACTGTGAGGAAGAGAACGTGAACTATTTTAAAGACTGCACAGATTTATAGCTTTTATTTATATTCCCTTTGTTTAAACTTTGATCAAGTGGTACTTTGGTGGGGTTTGTAGTAAGCATCAGGTTTAGCATTTTACTGCTCAGAAATTACGGTTTTCAATGCTTTCAGCAGTTGTTTTTCAGATGAAGAGCATGTGTTTTTGTTACAACATTTCTTAAAATTATAGGAAAACAGGATTATTTTTATTCTATTATAACCAAAATGTGGTTTAAAAAATGAGCTTTCAGCTGTCTTTATGTTCTGTTCTGCTTTTACCCTGCTATCCTCAGAGAAAAGTCTGCATTTTTACAATGCATCTCACTCTGCCCCCTTGAGAAGATGCCATTATTTTTGGACTGTTTCCCTTCTGCAAAGGTTGGGACTTTATTTTGTTTGGTTGGGTTTTTTTGTTTTGTTTTGTTTTTATTTTGGTAGTTTCAAGTCAATTAGTTACCACTAAAAATGCAGACATTGGAATTTGATTTATATGTTACTGCATTGTGGTTCTTCCTCAGCAATTTGAAAAATAAAATAAAAAAAAAAAACAGAAAAACAAACCCCAGTAACTGTGTTTCTGAGGTCCTGGAACTTAATACTCATGCAGAAGAGCAGATGAGGGTCTGCCTGGCTGCATTGCAGCTTTACAGGATTTGGTGTCCTGGTGGTCAACAAACTGAATGAGACTCCACGACCAATGTGCAATAAAGGTCAGAAAGACTGAGCAGCATTAGAGTGTTCCTGAGAGCTCCCAATACACTGGTCTTGGCAAACTGATTTTTTGCTTTACTTAGAGAAGTTGTTTATTTTCATCAGACACACTTACAAGCTGTCATGGTTCTTTAGTAGTTTGCCAAAATAAGGTTTAAAAGGAGTAGCAGTAATATTTTTAACCTTTTCTAGAGTGTTTTAAGATAAGTGGGTGACACAACAAATGCAGAGTGTGAGTTACCATTAAGGGCTTTGGATCTCATCTTTGAAACCAAGCTGTAAGTCTACAAGTAGCCATCCTATTTCTCATGGCAAGCTTATCAGAAGTTAGTGGTAGGCATTCAAATTTTAACTATTTAATTAGATACTGATCATCAAAATATTAGTTTTGTGAAGCAATATCAGATATGGGAGGAAACTGCAGTTGCGCAGAGAGGCTGGGGAGGCTCCATCCGTGGAGATATCCTGAAGCTGTCCGGGCATGATACTGGTCAGCTGGTCCTGATGGCCCTGCTTTAGCTGGGGTTTGGTCCTGATGACCTCCACTCATACCTTCCAACCTCAGTTTATGTGCCATTTGATCACAAATGTGCTTTTCAGGATTCAATCAGCTTACTCTCAGGTCTGAGGTTATAAATGCATTATAAAATCAATGAAGTTGTATTAGTGGCAAATCATAATTTTGAGTTCAGTAGATGTAGCTGTAGTTTTCCTGGTTTTGATGTGTGAATATTTTTCATGTCCCTTAGAAAAGCAGAATTTTCTATGGGATGGTTAATGCTTCTCTACAGTGTCTTAAGTTACTAATTACTGGCATTTGCTTAATGATGTAATCATGCAGGGTTTCATAAAAAGACTAGTGCTGTTGCTTCAGGTGTTCCCCTTTTTCAGTGAGTTTTCATGTGTAGCTGTAATAATCATTAATGTAATATCCTCACTTGGGAAATGGCCAGAGGATTCAAGTTGTGGCAGGGAAAATGGGGTTGATCTCAGTTCTCACTGCTCCAGGACATGAGAAATCTCATTAGGCTTGAGCTGTTCTCCCTGTGTGATCTGTCTGATCCGTTCTGCTGCTGCAGGGACCTCAGGAAGATACTTTCTTTCGTGGTAAATGTTGGCAGAGACAGAAACACTTGCCTGTCATTAGGTCCACGGTATCTAAATTGTTACTGATTTTACTTCTTTAGAAAGACTGGTTACATTGTGCCTTTCTTTAGGACTTGGTGGGGATCTCCCAAACTATGGTTAGAGGAGGTTTCACGTGCTATGTTAATAATTACACTAAGTTAATTTGTATTGAAGTTGCACTGTTAAATGATGCTGAGTAGCATTTTCTTAGTAGAGAGATTATGAAATGATCATGCCTTTTTAAGCTATGCTAATTTACCATTGGAGTTGTATTGGCTAACAATGGACAGCGTTCTCTTCTTCTTTTCATGGGGTTTTTTTTTTTTAGATTTTAGTAAACTCTTAGAACTGCCCTTTTCATCAAGTCAAAATATGAAAATATGTTTTTAAGTAAAGCCTTTGAATTCTTGTCTAACCTCTGTTATTTATGGGTTTTTACCAGCATTGTGGCAGGGCAGCATTTCATGGCAATTCAAGAGAGAAGTGGGAGTAGAGACAGCACTAGCACTGGAGAAAAACTAATTTCAAAAGCAGCCCAAAACATTTGCTATATTTTACTCTTTGTGCTTAGTGTTTCCTTTTTTTGAAGCAAGTGTAAGGAAATAGATAACTGTACCAAAATCTAATTTACCCAAATTGTATAATAGTCCAGAAGTGTGCTGATAAGTGTTGAATGTTTCAAACTCTGATCCGAAAACATTACTCAAGTTTATGTAGGATTGTATTTCCTTCGCAGTTAGATACAGGTTCAAGCTAACAGCTTGGTAACTCCTATATAAACTTAATGAGGCACTGTTGTATTCTTTTTTCTTCCATTTTTAATGAACAATTTCCTTTCAAAACTTCATTAACTGCACAAGTCTAATGTATAACATGAAGAACTTTATTGTCCTTTAAGCGCTGGAACTCATGTAGACACCCAGAAGCAATATTAAGATATTCCTGACATTTAGCTTGTTGTTGTTAAACTCCTTGGTCTTACTGTCCTGAAAATCTCTTCTTTCTGAATCAGTGATGAAGAACGCTACAGATACAGAGACTATGCAGAGAGGGGCTACGACCGCCATAGGACAAGCAGAGAGAAAGAAGACAGACACAGAGACAGGAGACACAGAGAGAAAGAAGAGACTCGACACAAGTCATCTCGAAGGTTTGATTTCTCTTTTTTTAATAGGATATGAAAGACTTGCCCAGTTAAAAAAAAAAAAAAAAGAAAGAAAGAAAAAAAGAAGTAAACTTTTAAAAGAACCCCAAACAAACAGGAGTTTTGTGGAAAGACTGTAAACACTTGAATGTGCTACTTGGAACAAGTCTGCCATATAAAACATGGACAGACAAGAAGCAATACTGACCCTGGGTAACCTCATATTGAGTGACAGTCGGTATGTGAACAGAAATTAGGACACTGGGGAAAGAAGGGTAAAAATGGTGAGTCAGAAAGGGATGGAATGAAGCTGACATTCAGCAGCATGAACAGAACAACTCAACAGTCATTCTCAGTAAGTAAAATAGTCTTCACAGTCACTTGATAGAAATTGTTTTACCTGATCCATTTTAAGTTAGAAATAAAAGTTAAGTCCAGAAAATGGGGTTACCAAGAATGTCAAATTATTAAGGAATGCCAATAGGTGCATGGCATTGTTAAAAGTATTGCTATTAGAATATGGGTTGCAAATGGGAAAAAGCATTCTATTTTTCCCCCAAAAAGTACAGGATGGATAGATGTATGTTCCATTCCAGGAAAAATTCAGTTCTGCACTGACATCCAAAAACTCTGAGCTGGGAGCAGATGCCAGTTTTCAAATATGAATGCAGAAGCTGTTTTTTTGGTACTTTGTAATGAAATAGGGCCTGAAGTGTCAAGCGTTTGAGGCATGTTTTCTCTCTATTTAGTAACAGCAGACGTCGTCACGACAGTGAAGAAGGGGATAGCCACAGAAGGCACAAACACAAGAAGTCCAAAAGAAGCAAAGAAGGAAAAGAAGCCAGTGGTGAACCTGCTCCTGAACAGGAAAACACTGAAGCTGCCCCTGTGGAATAGGCTTGTGTGATTTTTTTTGCCTACTTGCATATATATTAGTGCCAGAAATAGATTACTATAAATCTTGTTATTTTTCTGGGAATTATAATAATTTGCTCTTAATCTTGTTCTGTTAGTTTGAAATCAAAGGTTACTTTGGTTTTTTTTGAAAATAAAAGAACGAATTTTTCATGTTAAGATTCTTGGACTGACTTTGTCTTTTAAGAAACAGTGAAACAGTGAAAAAACATCTTACATCTAGAGGCTTATGCTCTTACAATATAAGTAGGGCTTAAATTCTTTGTATTAAATTGTCTCCTTTTTTCATAAGCCAACGGGAAGGTCATTCTTTTACTGACTTTAGAAACAGTGTGCATTCATTTTTTTATATACCCAACATCTGGAACAGTGTGGGTTTAGCTTTTGGAGACATTTTTGGAAAGGTCGTCCTTTACTACAGGGACACACAGGAACTGCAGGCTTTTCAAAAGACTTGTAATAACGTGAAGCAAAGAAAAACCTAGGGAAAGTGGGAAAGGTGCCGATTGTTCTTAGTTGGATGGAACACTGAGCATGGTGATGATACACTTGGTAATTATGTCTGGTTTGTGTAGGTGCATAAGGATGAATTAAGCTGGATAATCGTCCCTGCTGCTTTTCAGTGGCTTAAGAGAGAGTTCATTTTAGTCTTTGTTCTAGGGGAACAGCTGCCCTTAACATGATAAAGATTAACAAACACATCCTCTTCCCACTGCAAGCTTGTGAGATAAAAACAAGACTGTGGAACATGAGTAATTTGCAGAGAAAGACGAAGGACTATTTTAAAAGACATATAAGACCATCATCACTTTCAGATTTACTTCATGCAGAACAGTATCAAGTGTGATTGATAAGGCAGTCCCACAAAAATTTTACTGCTATTCAAAAGATTTACTTGATGGCGTTAGCAGGGTGCAGTGTATTTTCTTAAAAGTAATACTCTATATAAAAATCCCAGATTTAATATTATTAATCAGAACAAATCAGGGAATCGAGGTAATTTGGTTTTGGATGAAAATAATGTCTGTACAAGTACACAGTTACAATTATTTTTAATTATTTTAGAAATTTCATTCACAGTTTTACAGACAAACAGTACTTGAAAGTCTTGAAAATACCAGCTTCATGCTGACCATGAAAAGGTACACATAATCAAAGTGCTATTAATGTGTTGGATAAAAACCTTCACCTGATTATTGCAACTAGAAAAATTGCAAGAGATATTTCCATAAGGTTATTCAAGGTTTTCTTTTTGTAAATCAAAATAAAGTGGGTGAGCAGAAGCTGTTGCTCCTTCAATTTCATCATTATTATTATTATTATTATTATTATGCAACAAATAGATATATAGGTATGTATAAAAAAAAACCAACAAAAAACCCTTAAGAACACAGGGAAGGAAGGACTTAAGTCTGTAGCTTGGATCACTCTGAAGTGATTTTCTGACGGGTGTCACTGTTTTGCCTAAACTTGACTTTTCTTGACATGCGGGTTGAAATTTCACAAACCTTTTCTTTATAAATACATACTTTACTCCCCAAAAAAGCAAAGACTGGTGTTCCTTTTTTTAAAATGTTTTCCCCATGTTAAGATACTTGTCATACTCTCCATGAAGACTTGTTTTATAAAAATGTGCCAGGCCAGGACACAATTGTGAGAGTAATTTTTCCTTTTAGTTCTTTGAGCATCCTTGCCAAGCAGGCATGCATCATTCCGGATGTGTTCCTGCCATTGACAGCAAGGAGGATGTCACCGCATCTGAAAAGATAAATGCAAGACAACAATTAAACGAGGTGACTTCTTATCTTAAATGTTTTCAAATGCCAAAGCACATCCTTAAGCTGGGGGAAGGGGTAGAAATGAGTATTATGGTTCCTTCTGTGGCTAACTACTGTTCACGAATGTGGGAATAAAGCACATGAAAATACTTCACTTGTTTGGGTTTCTTACAAATATATAATTAATGAGACGTATTTGAAGGAAAACATGATATAGTTCTTCTGATGTTCATTCTGATGAATCATCACAGAATCATAGAAGGGCTTCAGCTGAAGGGACTTCAAACATAATCCAGTTCCAATCCTTGCTTTGGCCAGGGACACCTTCTACTAGACCAGGTTGCTCAAAGCCAAGCCAACCTGTCCTTGAATAAGGAGAAGGCATGGGCAACCTGTTCCAGAGTTTCACCACCCTCATATGAAATAATTTCTTTTTGATACCAGTCTAAAACTACTGTCTTTCAGTTTAAAGCCATTGTCCCCTGTCCCGCACTACATACCCTTGTAAAAAGTCCCTTTCCAGCTTTAGATACTAGAATGATCCGTGTTCTGAACAACTGCACCTTTTAAGCCTTGTTAATTGATGTAAGTTTGTGCCATGATTGTGCATTTACTCTCTTCAAGTGTATTGGTGTTTGGTTGGGGTGTTTAGAACTGGAGATGTGGGAAATCTCTGTGCTGGCATGGTTTGTACCACCCCAGAGATCAAACTGACTCTTCCTTTAACTTACTCACATACTAGTAGATTGCTAGACATCTGGAAACATTCTGCTATGAAGGCAGATCTGTTAAATTTCAGGCTACCTGTGTCCTGTTTTCATATCTCCCAGAGCTACTTCTGTATCAGTGAGTCCTTCCCCCATCTTAATGAAAACATGTTTTTTAAAAACTCCCACAAGTTAACCAGAAGAACTTACTGAAATGCTACTTTTTAAAGATAGTAATCATTACCTAATTCTGCCATCATTATATGCTGGTGTTCCCCCAACAATGGATTTGATAAAGAATGGTTTGTTCCCAGTATGTTCTTCATAACCTCCTACGATGCTGAAGCCAAGACTTCCAGATGTATTTCTTCGTAATACAATTTCTTTGCAGCTGTACAAATATCTGAAATAAACCAGTTTAATTAAATGTCTTATAGTTAACTTTAGATTCTGATGAACCACTAATAATGAATCTGCCTTTTCATGGACCCATACACTGTTTTTTAAAATAGTGCCATATTTCCACTGTATTAAGCACCTACACTTCTCTTCTGTTCCTGTAGTACTGCTTTCCTGTTACAACCAGATAACCAGTTATCCCAAAAGTAAAATTAGTCTTGGGCTTAAGCGTTAAATAAGTTTCTTGTATAGGGTAGGAATTATGCAAATGCTCTGGTTGATGTGATGGAGAAACGCACTTCAGCCTGAATTTAATGTTTGTAAATCAGCAATTCAAAAAGCTGTGTTTCTTCTACCTTGCACACCCCAATGACTTGTTTATCTTCCAGATATGAGCCTGTGTGTGATTAATTATGTCCAAGTGCTCAGGCACTTACTACTGTGGTGCATGCCAAAGTGTAATAATTTTAAGGCCAATGGAACGAACTACAAAAATGACAGATTACACAAAGACAAAATTGGTAGAATTAGGGATCCTGAGCTTTTCTTTTTGAGTAACCTGATAAGTCACAGCATGGAAGATGAGAGAAACTTATGCATGTGAGTCAGTGCTTTGGAGTACTGAGTCTGCTCTTAAGAAGATAGCTTGTCCTTACCGTAATGATTAATACAAGATTTTGTAGTAAGAGAACTGAAATCTGCTTCTCCATTTGTCTTTTGAATGTATTTTATGATACTGTTATGCTCATCAAAGCCTAGGTTCCAAAACTAGGAATAGGGGAGAACTAAGAATAGTGTTATTAGGCTCTTAAATGTTGCCTAATGCTCTGAGTACATTAATTTGTTTCCTTTTTTTTTTTTTTTTTTAACCAAATTAGTTCCATTTGTTAGAAAGTGAGTGATAAAAATTTCTGTCCATAGTACTTTACCATCTTATCCTTAGTGGTGTCCCCAGGAATGACTGAAATTTCTGAATGACTATAAATATATTTGCTACTCCAAATCTTAAAATATAGGCTGACCTACAGCAGGTAACTGTTACAAGCTCTATTCAGAGACTTTTTAGGTTTCTAGGAAGCACCTGACACTTCTATAGTAGGATAAATAGCCTTTATGTTAAAGACTGATATGCCTAGTTTTAAAAATTGTATTTTAAATAGTGCATTTGCTGTCTTTCACAGCAGTAACACTAGATTAGTCCCCCAGGGCCTACAAATATTCACCTGCTGCCAGGATGGTAGGTATGTAATATTTGCACAAGAATTCACTGGTTGCTAATGTAAGAAACAGGTGACATTTGCTTCTTCCTCAGCAGCCAGGCATTATTACTTTACCGTCTGTGGACTTCTTCAATGTGCAAAATCACTTAAACCCTCTGTGTTTGATGGTACTTATCAAGGTCATGACCAAGCAGTGCCAGGATCCAGCCCTTAGTGCTGTAATTCAGTGTTGATGTTGGGGCAGAGGTCTCTGCTGCCCAGTGCTACACTCACTGCCTTAAGGAGCACATTCCTGAAATTGAAAGGTAATCAGCTAAATCCTAATGCCATAGAACAGTAGGCAAGCAGGTAAGGACAGGAGGATAAAAGGCAGTGAAGCCAAACACACCAAGCACAGAATGTGCATTCTCTACATGCAATCTATAAAGTTATTAGTTGCATGGTCTCCATCAGTCCAGAAAGCATAAATATATATTTGCTGTCAAAGTGTATGATAAATTTAAGTAAAATAGACACAGCATAACAGCATTAGGATTGTTCTCTCTGCCAGAGCACAGAAAACACATAAAAACCAAGGAACAGCAGAGAGCAACCACACAGTTGTGACTCCAAGCTCCTGCTCTGCCTTTTGCCTCGCCAAAGGGACTGGGTGTAACCTGCTCTGACAAGAATGCAGTGGAGACATGGAAGTCAGGAGAAGAGGTGCTGGTGTGATGGTCAGTTTGGGAAACCCCCTTTTCTCCCCTCTTCAGAAAACATTGACAAGCTTGTCTTCTTGGGTTCCCCATACCCAAATTGGTAATTAAATGTTTTCAGTTATGAAAGCCAAGTCTGCTTTGGCCATGACAATAATGAGTGAGGGATTTCCCTGTCTATTGACCAATGAGTTTACTCACTCTTCTCCTTTTCACTCACCCTCCTGTGGGTGTTGGTGCAGGTCCAACCCATCATGACAGCCATAGCTAGAGACTGACTCTTAAAAGAATAGGAGTGTCTAGAACGTGTTTATGCCTTTAATTCAATGTTTTCTAATCTCCATCCTGTGGGACAGAGGT